GAATAATCTTCCCAGAACATTCCTAAACTAAAATCTAAATCTGAAACGCACTTATATCTAACTTTTGTTCCGAAACTCTCTAATATCACACAACAAATAAATCATTCTCTATCTACAGAAATACGTCTAAGATAGATTAGCAATGAATCCATAGCGTGGGCAACAGGCTCAACAACAAGGCAGTTTGGTAGCCATCTTGTGTATCTATCTGTACGTTATGTTGGGAAGTTGTAGACGGAAGATTGAGGGGAACTCGGTGTCGGGTGTTCTTTTATAGCACCCTTACTTATGAGGTTGCGGAGCAAGCGCTTCTGGGGGTATGTGTATTTTGAGTCTATATTTTTGTCATGAACTTATTTTGTGTGTGATCTATAGGGGCATGTGCGGCGCGGGAGAATATTCCTTGTTGTGTAATGGCATGTCGTTCAATGTGAGAAGGGCACGGGAGAACATTATCTCATCATTGCCTCCTGACGTGGCCGCCGATAGAGGCATGTGGTTGGGGTTTCATCACTGACATGGGGGTGTGTGTTAAATGCAGTGGGTATGGTCGCCTCTCTCGCCCGTGTGTCGGCAGAAGGTATAGCTACATTTCCCATTTATTTGTAGGCAGCGCGGACCATAAGCAAAGACAGAGTGTATCATTTCATGCATCTACATCATTTATTTGTNTCATCACTGACATGTGGGTGTGTGTTAAATGCAGTGGGTATGGTCGCCTCTCTCGCCCGTGTGTCGGCAGAAGGTATAGCTACATTTCCCATTTATTTGTAGGCAGCGCGGACCATAAGCAAAGACAGAGTGTATCATTTCATGCATCTACATCATTTATTTGTAGTATGTTTATTGTTGTTGTTGTTGTTGTTGTCTTCACATTAAAAATCGTTCCGATCTCTCGCTACCCAGTACCTTCGTATGTCCATACTGAACCAACACTCGACGCAGTCGATTCTTTGTTCCTATTCCGAAGGTACCCCGGAATTACTCCGTATCACCCCGACGAGACCAAGGTGGCGGTTGAAAAGTAACATAGTCTACATATGAAACGATAGGACGACCATATGCATACGGCTATGCATCCGTATAGCTGCTCTCCTCGGCTTGTTGATTCCCTCTCCTTGCTTCGCTGACGCACACAGTCTATGTACTACCTATCTATGTATCACATCCATCGATCGATCGCTGGGTATACAGTACTGGTTATGTACAACAACAACAGTCGCATAGACCAACTGCCTGTCTGTTGTTGTACCGACAGTTTGCTTCTCAATGTTAGCCTACAAACAAACTTGTTGCTCATATTGGACGTTTCCGGCTACCCTGTGAAAGAGGGACTACTTTAGTTAGTCTACACATTAAGTTAGCGAACGTAAATTTGGGACGGAGGCTCAATTTCTCATTTCGTCATCACGGTCTAGCATCATTGTAAAGAGTTTAGTGTGGGATCCACGGCTGCGGTGTGCTTCGTATATTTTAGTCGATTTTTTTCTATCTATCGCCAAAAAATGAGCCGTTGTTTCTCAATCGTGGGCGCTAACTACTACTGCATACCACAGGTATACCTGTACGTGATGCAACAACGAAACGTACATGAGTCCGTTCGTCGTGTGGTCAACCGTGTTGTCAACCACTTGATGTGGGAAAAGAGGCTCAGGGAAAAAGCCGGCAGTTGGAGCCGGAGTATCGCGAGAAGCAGGAAGCAAGCTGATATCAAAATCGCGTAGACTACTAGAAGTCTAGTCTACATGTAATTCCTCAAACCAACACCATCTTCATTCATGGCCACTCCACGCACGCAGCAGCAGTCTAAGCCCCCACGCAGCGTGAAATCCGGAGCTTGCTGTATTGTAGGTCATCCCCGTTCTAATGAAACCTCGCGACGATGTAAGTCTAGATGATGTTATTGCCGCTTTTATCAACCAGACAAGAGGCGCCGATACCATCGAGGACACTATTCGGCGCGTTGTGTGATGTGCGCCGACCAGACAAACATATTTCTATGATCTCTTCTTCGTAGTCAGCCGTTTCCCCTCGTCAGACAGGCAATCCAGCGCCAGCCTGGACAAGCATCTCCATGCCGCGGAGGTCGGCTATCATCTGCCCGGGGTAGTGCGGCAGAAAACCGATCGACGTTCGTTCGAGGAGAGACAAGAGAGAGGGGTGTGTCGGGAAAAGGGGGCTATCCTTGTCTAACAGAAAGATACATATGTAGTATAGTTCTGCCGCTTACGTTCCCCGCCGCAAGGTGTATAGACTAATGGAGAGATGAACACCAATTGCTTGGCACGCTCTAGTCTTAAGAGATCTTAAGAGAGAGAGAAGTCTTTCGGCAGCTAAGAACGACTGGCCGAGGCCTTGATGCATCGTGATCGATTTTGAAAAAAAATAGTTGACGGGGTTTAATGTCACCTGCTTGTGAATTGGATCGCGTGCCAGTTTTGCCAAGCAGATGGCAGCGTTGGTACGTGCTGATAGAGCACCCCCCTCGCCTCCTGAGTTGGCGAAGAGCGAAATGAGGCGGGGAATTCCTCCTGCGTCGACAATCTATGCGTAAACCAGACGTTTGTCGGAGGTGACGGCGATCATAAAAAATGTTAGTTCCTCCATGATATTCAACGGCTGATTGCTTTGCCGAGCGAGCCGTGTCCCTACAAGCGTTCACGTAAGCCTTACTGAAGGAGACTGTCTTTGGTTTCCTTTGTGTTTGTGTGCACCGAGGAGCGCAAACACCACACGACGCCACGGCAATCCCCAGATACTGTACTGCCAGATGGGGTGACCCCCCTCCCCCCCCCCGCCTCAAGAAATATCACCTGGGTGGCGATGTGGCCGGAACCCTCGCCGTCCAAAAGGTGCAGGAGGCAGACGCAAACGTTGCCCGTTACCGCGGGAGGTGCGAGCCACTTGGGCCTCAATGACACAGATGTGGTAGTGACACCCTCCGTTCCATCCTCCCGAGCAGGCGGAAGGAAAGATATCAACGCTTCGGAAAGCTTCAGCTGGCCCGCTGTGGTGACAATTTTGTCCTTCGCATCTTTGGTCGTCGTCACTCCGGGCACGTTTGAGGAGGGTGCCGGTGATCCAAGCCTCCGCGCGTCGTCACAGGCAGCGGTGTGCGCTGGCGGCTTTGAGCGCAAGATGGAGCCCAGAACGCGGACAAGGTTCTCTCTCTCGGTGGCATTCGCGGCTGAGGTTGCCGCGGCTTCTGTTGCGGCCGCTGCGGCTAGATCGTCTGCCTCATCATCCGCGCGTTTCGCTCGGGTGACAATTGTGTAGAGGTCACCTCCGAGAGTTGAGCTCCGCACGGTGGCCTGGTAAACGTGGGCGAGGACCGCAAGACGCACTTTTCCATTTGTCCAGGGGAGTTGTTGTTGTTACGCGATCAATCGACTCTGTCACCCGAACATGTCTGCCGGCGCTCTGTACTAGCTTCCCTGAAACGCAATGATGTGTCTCAATCAATATTTCCACCATCAGTGCATCCAACGACGACAGCGTGTGTTCCTTTTCCCGGTGCATGTACAAACAAAAACATATTCGATATTGACGCATCCATTCTCAAGCGTCCATGTTATTCCCGAGCACAAAGGGGCACCCAGCCGTCAACCATCAAACACATAAATACACGTTTTACAGTAGCCAACCATGGGGTTTTAAGTCCTCAGCAGTAAAAAGCACCTGAATGATTCTGTCCACAACACCCGGGCGAGCCATGGCCTCGAGCGCTTCAGGTAGGGGAGACAAGCGCGCTAGCAGCGCCGCTGATCTAGCTGCCACCAGCGGGGGCACGTGGAGAACACGATCCTTTCCCTCTAGCGACAGCGTGGCCAGGGCAAAAGCTAACCCTCCTGCTGCCAGCGTCGCTTTCTGCACGCTACAAAAAGTATCCGATGGAATTGTCGCACGAGCATACCAGAAAGCAGGTGAGAAAGCGTTGGACCAGGATAAACATTGCAAATTTGGCGGAGTTACACATACCACTACCCGCAGGTCGATACTGATCGAGCAGTTGACGAGATGCGTATTTGGTGAGAGTGAGTGGACTCCTGCTCGGTTTCAAAGAGGTTTCGAGGAGATGAGAGTCTCAGTCCTAGAGCCACCTATCTATGTCTAAACAGTCTCCGTTGTGATCATGCATTTTCCGTCTACCATTACGGTGGCGTGGGATCTTACCTGTGGTTGTGCAGGCAGGCGTTTACTAACGCCGCGAGTGCCACCGACCTTGCCTCCGAGCGATCGGCCTGCTCCATACCCACCCAGTGTGAGACACGCAAGAGGGAGCTGATATTCGCCGCAGGACATTGATTTGTGAGACACGCTGACGTGCTGGTGACGTGGTCGAAACTTGTTACCGGTACACTAACAAATCTAGAGCACACGTTGAAAACCATCTCAACCACACGCTTGACAATAACAGGCAAAGAGACTTATGAAATACTCCCCAAAATGGTTCCTTCGTAGTTCTCGGTTTTCCGATGCATACACTCGAATCTCCCGCCTGTCCTCACACACTGCCCGGCGTGTCCTGCGCTGCCCACAATGGCGTCGCACGACATGTTCGACAGCAACCACACCAAGCTACCTTCATGTCGCGGGCGACGAGGACTAGAACGGCAGCCACCGTCGAAACTCCGCCACTGTCCACTCCGCCCCCCATCGACTTGGATAGGAAGGGTTTCGCGAAACTTTCCCTGAAGTTCTCGTTCATGGCGAGATTTGCCAGCACGTTGCAGAGAGCGAAACCAGTAGACGCTGGGGCGCCCTGGTAGGAAACCATGGATTCACACGGCCAAAACATTTGAGGCGTGGTCAGTCGCGGAAAGGAAACACATACAGTTTGTTTGAAAGCGAAAGACCAACCAAGCCCTCGTGTTCGTTTTTCGCCCTTCCGCTGCTGTTTTCTCTCTCGCATTTTCACGACTTTCATTAATGCAACATTTTGTACGGTTGTCCCGTGTCGCCAGAAAGAGCCGAGGGGAATGCTGTCACGCTTAACGGTGTTGCTGTCACAGTCAAATTCCATCAACCGGTCATAACCTTCATCGGACCGCTTCCCTCCTTCCATGCAAGCAAGGCTCTTCCTACAGCCATCGCAGGGCACGAAAGCATCCTCTTCTGTTCCATCAACCCCGCCTCCGTCGACACCGATATCTCGGACGAAGCTTCGCTACTCAGCGTTTTGGCAGCGATTGGAGCGGTGCGACCAATGAGGACGGCACGAAGGGTATCGGCGGCAGCCTCAATGTCCAGCGGAGGCATGGAGCCGGCACCGACGATGTCTACTAGGCCTGCTAGTAGATCGATTCTCCTGAACGAAAACATCCAGCGAGCATGTACCACAGAAAGAGTACGTGGAAACAAGAGAGTCGAGTCATGTTTCGGTAAGGTCACGGTGCCTATCGTATTACAGATATCGAATGGGCCACACACGCAATCCATCGGGTGAAGCACACGGCGAACTCCAGCACGTTTCCCTGTAGGTACAGGGTGGCCAGGGAACGATGTTGTATGTCAATATGTCAATACGTGCAGAATATATGGTTGCTTTCCGAGTCCCTCTTGCCGGTGCACATAATGTTGAGGGGGTACGAGAAAGCAGAGCAGTCACGTCTAGCACGTTTCGCCAGCGCTGGTTCTCCAAGTGTACCTGGCAACGTACGCGCGCACGGAGACGTCATCGATAGCTCGAGACAACAGCAGAGCGGCCGCTCCCGCGGCAGCTACCACCCCTGTAGTCGCGACCATACCCTCCGCGCCTTCCTTGACTACCCTCCTCATTGCATGGGCACATGGGTCGCCCAGGAGTCCAGACTTGAACACCTCCTGCTGGGCGAGCCTCTCTCCCCCCTTGATAGCCGCCGAAACGGCCACCAGCATCGATGCAAACCGAACCGGATCCTTACCACCATCGACGCCTCCGCTCGGGACATCTCCGTCTCTGTCGCAGCCGCCGTCTTCGATGGCACCAGCAGACATCCCTTCGGGACCACGAGCTTGTGGAAGAACCAACGGAGAACAAATGCTGGCGCGTGTGCTCGTCTTGCTGACGTCTTGGTCGGGGCGGCTAGCGCCAGCGGCGGCGGCGGCGGCGGCGGCGGTGGCAGTAGCCCCGGTAAGCCGGGCAAGCCCGCCGGATGCCCTGAAGTAGACCCTCGCAGTGTGGTTGTCCTCCAGAATGGATGCTAGGCGAAGAAGCAGGTGTCGCTGGTGAGTCGTGCCTGCTGTTGTTGGGTAGCGGAAAGGGATGATCGCGGACGGAAACGACCGGTGTCAGTCGCTATGCAAGCAACATCTCCGTTGGGCCAGGGAGAGATCAAAGGCCAGATTGTGTCGAGTCCACGTACGTCTTCTTTCCCCATGGTTGTTCTCTCCGTGCTATTCCCCGTCTACACGTAGATTCACAGCGTGAGTCTTCTGCACTTCTTCCGATGGCGAAGGCCGTGATGTACTTCTACTCTAGATTCACACCGCACGTGTGATCGCGTCTTGATTGTGGCTACAAAGACGGCGCCCCCATAATTTATTGGGAAACCTCACAGAGACCGCAATGTAATAGGCACCGGTGGAGAAGACGCGCGTTCAAAGCACACGCAAAACTGCGAGGTTGTAGTACTCACCGCCCTCCGTCGCCTTTTCAAGCCTCGTAGCCTCCAGCCCCTTAGCGCCTACCTCAGCGCCTCCAAGTACCTCCTCTAAAATCTTGTCTACGGTATGCAGATCGTTCTCATCCCCCAAAGTCCCCGCGTCGATAGAAGTTTTGCCCTTCCCTGCCTCAGTGGGCTTTTCGCGTTTGCCATCGGGCAGGGGCAAGCCGGACAAAGCCTCGGTACGCCGCTCGATTGTTCGAGCTCTCATATCCCGCGGTTGAGCAGCGACATCCTGGCCTTGATTCTCACCCGGAGACGCGCCAAGGCCTTCCGTTCCCAGGTTTGGTATTCCGGTGGCGGAGACCCCGCTGCTGCTGCGACAAGGGTAAGTTCCAGAGGTACCCTTCACTATCTTCATGACAGCCGCCTCCGCCTGCATCGGTGTTCGAGGGAGGGGTGGTGCCACTTTTCAAGGGTATGCATGCCCCGAACAGTGGGTTGGTATCTTGCATATTGAGTGACAACTACAAGACCAACTGCTATACAGGTCATACACTCGGTTCATTGCCAGCTCGCCGCGTATATGTATGGGAAGGGCATACGGCCAGCACTCCGGGATTGGGTACTCGGAGAAACATTCGTGTATGTAGCAGGCGGAAGTAGCAGACAGCGCAACGCGCACCTTCTCTTCCTCGATTTCCTTGCTGAGGCTATCCCTCTGCCGCCTGATGTCTTCGCTACCGGGGTCCGCCTCAACGGCTGCGTGCAAGTCGAGCAGCGCCAACGCCATGAGTCCCTCCCTCCCCCCGAAACGTGCGCGAAAGGCATGCTCTTCGCCCCTTCCGCTGGATTCTCCGTCACCCTCTGTCCCTGAAATAGCCTCTTTTTCGTTCCCTGCCGGAGCCAAGTCGCTGACGTCAATGGAAACGCTGGTGCCGCCCTTGGTCACGACCTCGGTCTGAGTGACAGTGCTGTCGATCGCGTCTGAAGGGGGCGAGGCTGTAGCAGGAGCAGCGGCGGCGGCAACCCCCGAAGTGGTAGAGTCCTCGGCAAGCCTGACGAACGCCGATGCCCGCCGCGAGAAAGCCTTGACACATTTTCCGTCCACGTGAAGCGCGCGATCACAGAACTCCACAGCATCTAACCACCGCTCCAACTTGATCAAGGTCTGCAGAAGCACAGCACGCGCGTGTCTTTGATTTGTAGTTCCGCCAAAGACAACGTTGTCGCTATCAACAGCAGCACCGACGGGAGAAAAAGAGACAATTCAGGCCGTTTCTACTTTGCAAAGACGTACAGCAGGGTTCGTACGCCCATTTGATAGAGCCAGGGGAAGATTCTTTCAGTGTACCTCGCTCTCTACACCGCCGATCAGGGTGGTGCATTCTACGAAGACCGAGGGTCGGGATTGCTACACTCCAAATGGAAGTTGTAAGAGTGTTTCTTGTTCTCTTGTAGCCCAACCATGCATCGTCTCTTGGTCCCAGTGTTGCCACCCGCCCGCACAAAGAGGGGGGGGGGGGGG